TCTGTCATTTGTAGTATCATGCACTTACTATAATAGAACTTACTCAGGTTCTGGTGAAGGGGGTAGAGCCACGGACTCCTCAACTTCCGGTTCCGGACTGGCGGGTTCTGGCGTCCTCACCGGAGTGATGACGGAGCCGTCAACCACCGAAATCAACTTCGGTGACTCTCTGGGGGATCCTTCTGGGGTTGGGATGTCTGGGGGTGGGGACGGGGGTGGGGTGTGGATTGGTGTGGTCACATAGGTAGAGGGAGCAGGTATGGGCTCATCTAATGGCAGAAAGTGAAACAGGTCATGTAGTATTGGCTGTCATAACGGTACAGTTTGTTTTATGAACCAGTTGCTTTGTGATTTGTTCCCGTCTATTCGTGTTGTGTCCATTTTTTAAGTGAATCCTTTCAAAGGCCAGGCAGTGTAATTTTCAATGCAAGGCTAGACAGCATAGGCTCCAAAGTGTTTAAAATTTAATCTGATGTTGAATAATTGTTGTCTCAATTTATGACCATTTCGGTGTCTTAATTTTCATGCCAACGCAAATTGATATAGTTCTGAAGAATGTGTGATGCATCCATGGCAGAAAAACCAACATTACAGCTATTTCTGCACTAACATTTGCCCACATGTTTCATATTTTTGTGTTAAACTGTTTACCTTGAATATCTGTTGTTGTTTTACTTAGAGACAGTAGGCAAGTGAGGAACGTTTCTTCCATATAGTTTCAATGGGCACATTTTAGGATCACAACTTGAACAGAAATCCCTGAAACGATCAGTGTCTTCCTGTACTGACATCTCTGCAACAATGCCCTCAGTTTTCAGGGAAAACCATTGAAAATTTCAGTGATTAAAAAAGTGCACTTTTCCACAGGAGCAACCAAACAGAAATGTCGGAGAGTTTTCTCACATTTACGAGGAGCAAAGAAGTGCACAGAACAAGGTGCCAGGTAAAATTCACATCATGTATCCTGTCTACTGATATACTCCTGGGAAAAGTCTCCACTGCATATTATGCACGTCCTGCCCTCACCTCCAGCAGGGGTGTTCTGAGTCAACACCACCTCCTTTAGGCTCTCTGTCTCTGATTCCACCAGGGATGCCTCGCTGGGACTGGCCAGGGGTGTGGCAACCCTCGATGCCACCAGGGGTGGGGTGTGCACTGGGCTGACTTGAGGCGTCACCTCGGGAGTGGGAATTGGGGTCCTGGAATCCTGAAGAAAAAAAAAAAAAATTAAAAATAAAACGCACTGATACATCCAAATCAAAGGGCTCAGTTTGCTCTTTGAAATGTAAATGCACGAAATAGCTAAAAAAAAAGGCCTTCAGACTCATTTTGTGAGACCAGTCACATTACTGGGATGGGACAGTTCTTCATGCTGTAATGGGCTCTATGTGATAGTATGTATGAGTAACTTTCATCTGAAATGTGCGCCAACCCAGAGGGTCTTTGTGTAGGATCCCTGGGCAAGGCCCTGATGGAATTCAGCTACCATGCCACTGTACTCTCTTTCTCCATCAATGATGTGCATGCATGTCGGGTATCAATGGGAACTTCGTCAATTGTTTTATTTCTTGTTTTAAGCAGATATTTTCTTGCACCGAATTCCAAAGTCTTGTCAATGCATCTGTTTAAGATTAGTAAGACTGCCCGTGCAAAATGATGGCTTTTGACAGAATCCACGCTTCCTTTCAAAATCATTCAATTCTAAGAGAAACAAAACTATATCTCCTTGAGGGCAAAAACACCATTGTTTCCTTGCCAACATTCTCCTTCCCAGGGGAAGAGTTCGCAGTTCCCCTGTTTGCAGGTAATTCCTGTTTTGACTTGGATGAGGCTCATATGCAGGGTCAATCAACTGTGCCAGCTATGTAAGTTAGACAAACAACACTCTTTTTGTGTTTTCAGCTCAGGTTACCCTAAAGCACTTCGGAAGCCAGTGAGTAGGCAAGAGAGGGAAGCCAGTGAGCAAGTGACCTCTGCCAAGTACTAGCAGGAAACGTGATTGCTTGCAACCACGACAGCAATTACTGTATCTGATTGAATTTGAAACCTTCCAGATACTTTCTTGATTTCAGTGACAATGTTGGTGACAATCTAGTTTGGCAGAAAGCTGCAAAGTGGACTTCAGGCAATGTTATTTGACTGTTGCTCAATTGTTGACCTTGCTTGCAGACAGGCGATAAACACAAGTCAAATGACTCTTCAACAAACAGGGTGTTGTGATTCGCTGAGTGCATACGCAAGTCAAGTTTAAGCACGCATGTGTGAGTGCTACCCAACTGCTATAATGGTGTCACCTCGGAGTGATCTAAAGTGACATATGTGACCTGTCACCACAAAATAAGCTGAAAGTGGGAATTTTCAACAATTGAGATATTGGTACGTTGAATTCACCAGAAAGAGAGCTTTCCAGTGGCATGTACATGGAACACTTAGGGTAAGTACAAGGTGACAATGTGACATTATTCTGGCAGCTTTGCATCTTTGTCTCCGACACTGTGTCAACATTTCTGTCCATGCACGAATAGTGCTATCATCGAAATTGCTGAGAAAATGACATTTATTAATATCTGATCCCACAAAATAAAATATGGAATTAAATAGACAGGTTACTCTTTCCAAATATCACACAACACCAAAAATTGACCTCAACTTCAATATCTAACTTTCAACCCTCAAAACAGGAAACAGCGGTATGCGACTTTACATGTAGTTTGTAGTACCAGGTCACATATTATCCGGACAGTTAACCATTGGGGATTCAGATACAGGAATATGACATTCTCAAACAGCTCAAGTGAACTTACAGTATCAGGTGCGACAGGAGTAGCTGGCATCAGCTGCCTGCGGGGTACATCCCTATCATGCTGACCCAAGGCAGTGGTCACTTTCTCCTCCAACACCTCTCGGACCAGCGCACTGACCAGCGTGTGATCCACAGCTTGACCAGCGTCTACAAACAGCTGGAGTCCGGCTGGGCCTATGGTCTCAACTGTAAAAGATGTGACCGGTGAAAAAATTCTGCAAAATCAACCGGTTTCCTTTTTAAGGACTGACACAGATGAATGCTGTCATACCACTCGGTGGCTTTGAATGAGAAATGAACTTAGACTCATTGATTTTTCAGATAACCAGTCAAGCCGGCTGTTGCCATTAGATCTGAACAAAGCATGGCATATTTGTACATTGAAACAAGGTCCCTGTAGGTCTACACATCTCATGCGCATAAAGACCAATTTTCTAAGAATTCCAATTCCATCCAAGACCAATTTTTCACAGGAAATGAACAGTGTTTTGCTTGGGTGCCAGGTGCCAGTCTCTCTTTTCTTCACCCAGCAAGTGGTTACTTGTTCAATGAACTGATACAAATTAAAATGCCAACTCCAACTTTCAAAGATCAGACTCTCAATGGACCGAATTGAGTATGAGAATGTTGTACACTCCGCTAGCTCCCAAGTAATGCCAGAGGATCACTTTGCAACTTCTAATATTAGGCTTTGCTGTTACCTAGACTTTCCTGAGTGAGCAGTAACTACACGTTTGGATTGGACTACATCTTAGGGCTGTGCTGAATATCCGAATAACCAAATATTTGATCGATCGAATATTTGAATGTTATTTTTCAAATTTGAATATTCGAACACAAAATTAATGAAAAGAGAAAATTTTCTTGTGTTTTAAATGAGAAAAAATTGCACTATGGAGGCTTGTTTTAAGCAGATTCAAATGAAAAGCGTCAGAAATTTTACAATTTAAAAAGTAAATTATTCATTAACAATTTAAAAGAAACAGAAATTTTTAACAGGGCAAGAAGTGTTGTTCATCTCTTACATCTTGCTAAATTGTGGCTGGAGATACTCCTAGATGTGAGAAGCTATTATTTTGATTACAATGTACAACTGTGTGTGTTATTGCAACTGGATTCGTGTATGGTTTGTTCATTAACAATCTGCCGGTCGGTGGGACAGAATATTTGGATATTCGGTCAAATTGAAGGTCGAATATTCAAATAGGTCTAGTGAATTATTCGAATTGACTCAGCCTTATTACATCTTACCAATTGAATCACTTGCCGATGAAGTAACGCTAGTGTCAGGTGAGATGGGTCTTGGATCTTCCACCGCTCGTCGACTGTATAACTCACTGATCATCTGAGCCATCAACTCCTGCTCGATCCTGACAGTATTAAACAAAGACGGAAGATTTGGCACAGAGGGGCAGTAATATGTGCGACGTTTGTGGTAGCATCTTGATAAGATATTTGGTTTTCAGCTCCAGTTCTTATTTTTAAATATTAGGGCCAAGCCACGCTAGGTAATTTGGGCAGCTTGGAAGCAAACGACTGTACCACACACAAGAGGAAAACATTGGGTGAGGCTAAGTACTGTTTTCTCAGAGTTTATGGAATTATGGTGATTGCCTGAAACCAGTCACCTGCATACTGCCTTGTGCAATGTGGCTCCATAAACACACAGCATCAATACACTTCAAATTACGTTAAAAAGTCACTGATAACAAGATTAACAATATTAGTAACGTTCATATCAAGCTAAAAGTACAAGAAAATTCTAAAAAACAGACAGGGGAATGTTGATTTGTGATGTTCATGTTCTTTACTTGTGGTCAAGTACTGTTTCATATATCTGCTGTGATGTCTGTTGATACATATTTCAAATTGTAATTAGTGGATGAACAATGACAATCGGGTTTGTTATTAAACCAGAGGTCTGCCCTTCTGAAGTTTACACAAAAGCTACTAGTGTTCAGAAAATGTTAGAATAAAAAAATAACATTCAAACAGCCCTCAGAATCTGGCAAATGAATTCAATCAAAATGTTTACAGCAAGAAAAGGACAAACTCCCAGATGACCTGAGTGGGAAGCATTCTAGCTGAATTCCTGATTAACTAATTGGTTTTGATTGCCACAACCCATGAACAATAGAACCTTGTTTTTGTGGATTTCCTGTTGAAGTGGGGCTGTAGCCCTGGAGGTAAAATGAGTTTGATGTATCACTGCTTTCGATAGAAAATTGGAAAGTGCAAAATTTGGGGGAAGAACCAAGACGGATTTGCTAATTTAATTTCTGAATGGTAATTTGTCATGTGGCTTTCCTAAGGTGTTGAAGATAAAATTGAGCACATTGGAGCGATTGTCACCAGCTCCGTGATTTATTGTCGCAATTTGGAACACGTTAACTTGCCAATACTTCCTCACCAACCATGCATTTCACAGCTTGTACCAATACAAGAAATTAATCTCGAAGGTGGGATTCACCAAACCAAATGGCCCTCCTGGGACCTCCAAATTAGGGCAGAGGAGACTGGGAAGGGTTCAGGGGAAGTGGAGAGTGGGCCAATGCACTTAGAATGGCACACGGGGGATGAAGAGGGCACAGCAAATCAAAGTCAATATTTTTGGGGCTTTCACAGCACAGTGAATCACTAAAGCACAAACATATCTACACCTCGAGTTCATATCTAACCTAGATCTACATCAAACAGAACTGCTTGTATGCAGCAGATTATTTGACTTACTAATGAGATAACAGTGTGCTGATAAAAATTTGAACTGTGTGGTTTCAAAGTAAGTCTGGTCAACTGTTCACCAGCACAAGTCACCATTATGAGGGGTCAGACGGCCTGGGCAGGTTTTGAACACCATGTTTGAAACTGTTCCAGAACACTATTATCTACATCAAGAATAGCTTTCTAGTCAAAAGGTCAAAACAACTCAAGGATGGGCGAACTCCCAAAGATTCCTTTTTTTTTTTTAACCGTTTTACTTCAGGTTTTGCTGACCATTTCTGACCATGTCTCTGGTATACGCCTCACACAAATACAAACTAAACATCTCCCTCGACCGAGACCGGAGGGCACAGAGTACACACTGTATGACATGCATAACAGAATGCACAACATGTAAGCAGTGTTTCACCTGCAGCTTACAACCACCCAAGTGATGGGCTAAGGACCGATAGAAACAGACAAACTGCCCAAAGTATTTATGAATATTTAAATATGATGCAAATAGAAGGTGTGTTGCTCAACTCCAAGATACTGATATCAAGAGAACAAAATTCAGACCACAGGACACAACTTCTCTCAAAGAACAATCGAGCACGCTGGGAGATTTAATTGCACATGCTCAGTCTGCTTTTTAGTAAACTAGTACATGTATGATTCCTGACTTTTTTTAAAAACTACGTAACTGCAAGCAACTGTGGACAGCAATCTGGACAGAGTCATAAAAGTGCATTCCTTATTTAAGGGTTAAAGTGCCTCATCTCTGTGTGACTTGTTTCCACAAAACTTTCTCCTGGCAAAGAATTACCTTCACACAGTTTCTGAGCTTGCTTTGTAGTTTGTGCTACACTGGGCCACAGAGAGGAGTAAAATATCAGTGAGGATTGTCATGAGGCAAGGGCACACGTTAGCTACGGTCCAACTAACTCTCCCCTCAAATTTAAACTTCCACAAAAATAACTGAAAAATGGTAGCCAAAAGGTGCTGGACCTAAATGGATACAATTGCATCTGATTTTGATTTTCGTTAAATTCAACGGACTCCTCATCCTTTGTTTCTAAATACAAAGAAGTCATGTTTAATCATTCTAAAGGGGGTAATGCAGCACCCCTTCAATGTTTCTTGCTGTTAAATCTTGAATGTCCGTACCATTCCATGGCCGCATTCTCCATGATGTCTCTCCTGATGTCACTGGCCAGTTTCTCTGAGGACGGTCCAACCATGGATGGATCAGGGGGCGGAGCCTGGGGAGGGAAGGGTGGGCCATGATAGGGCCGTTCCATCTCTGTGTAACGGCCTGGCAAAGAGATGCCTGGAGTTGGCAGTTCATCTTCTGACTCTTCCTGTGGCTGCAAATGCACGAGGACATTCAGAAATTGCGAATCTTAATAACATTAAAATGCATAATTTCTATGGGACTGGATCCAACGAAATGTACCTTAAGGCCTGATTTAGGGTGATCTGTTTTACATGTGGTTTGCAAGAGAAAGAGAATAGTGTGTTCTTTGTCTTGATGTATCCCCAATTTTGGCATCCTGATGACCAAGAACAATTCATGGTTGCAAAAATACAGTAAACTCCGAGTAAGTCGGCATCGCGTAACTCGTTCTATCGTCTAAGTCAGCCTTTTGACAAAAGTCCTGATCGTCTGTAATGCATTTCCATTGAAAATTTCATTTCTAAGTCGGCATTTATAAGTCGTCATTTCGTAAAGTCTGCATGTTTTTCTCGGTCCCTTTTCCGCAAAACCACAAAAATTCCTTTGTGTAAGTCGGCATTAAAAAAATTGTGCTTTGATATCAGTTTCCTTCGCCGCAGTTGCCAAGAAGTGTCAGGTGACAAATCCCACACTGCTTGACTGATGTCTGTTTATTAGCAGCACAGGCCGTGGTTGATAATTGGCCAGCATGAGTACATCAATACCAGTAACCCTTCTGGTGCTACACGCATGCGCTCTGTCCATTTTGGGGGTCGCCTTATTGAACGTAGTCTGGTTCCCCACCCAAAGTTTCCCCAATGACCCTTGATAATGATTCATCGGGTAGTCAGTATCATTGGGTCTGGTATCCAGACTATATTGAACGAACTTAACCAATGCACGTGTGTAGTTGAGTGTATGTTTTCTGTACTGTAACTGTATCACGTACACACGGACAGCACTGTCGAGTTGTGATGTGATATGCGAGTGGCTTGCCGTCCTTGCTTCCTCCTTAGGGGCACATGATCAATTATAGAACTTGCAGCCCGTGAGAGTAATAATCGAGAACGAATTTGCTGGGATCGACCATGGAGGTAGGTAAATCAAAGCCATTGAATTAGTGCAAGGAATCATAATGTACGTAGGCAATACATGTGTACGTGTAAGTCAGCAATATGATGACTTACAGTACAAGTTGGCATTCGCGTAAGTCATCATAATTTCTTGAGTCCCGAGAGTGCCTACTTAGCTGGAGTTTACTGTACTGAGGGTTTCCAATGCTTGACATGGTGAAAAATTCAATGTCTTGAAGGCCTCTCACTCCAAGTTGCTCTAGCAACTTGTGACACACTTTGTTAGGTTGGGTCACACAAAATAATATAAATTATTAGCAAAAAGGCAAATTAGGTAATGCAACCACTGCACACTCGGCCACAGATGGTGGAGCACTTTACCGGCCACTGTTAAGAAAATCTTTGGGCCACTTATTTTTTCACATCAGCCAACATGACTGTCTTAACTCAGGGGTCTTCGTGAATGAAGGATTATCAAGACGGTACCTCATCGTCTTCAGCAACAGCCAGGTAGTGAGAGAACTGGGACTGGCCTGGGAGGGTATCGTCTTCCTAGAATGATATGAGAAAACATTGTTGTGTCACTTTCTGTCGACACAAATCCATCTAGTGCAAACTGTTATACTTTGCCACAATATGCTCTGAACACTAAACTGAACAAGACCAAATGGCATATGGACAAATAGAAGACAGTGTTAATGGAAAAGAAAATCGCGAAAGTCTCAAATAAAGCAAACAAAGTCCTGAATGATATCAGAAAAGATGTAGCAAAGCAATATCTCTCTTGAGAAAGTTAAAAATGTACAAGTGAAATAACTGCCACTTGCACTGTTGGCTTTATACGCACCATTCCAGCAGTCACACAGTTTATTTCCACTTCATTCCAACTGGATCTAAGATAATCCTTCAAAATTTTAAAGACTGGAAGTGCAGGTGAATTGAATAGGCATGCAAACACATTTACCACTGGAGGGATTTCTGCTTGTCTGTCTTGTAGAGTTTCTACCTTGGGGCTCCCGTCAGGCTCTGACGCAATCGATGCCTGACTTGACAGTTCTGTGTCTATGTCAACAGCTGGAAGATGCTAAATATGGAAGCAAGAAAAAACGAGTATTGAAACCAGCAGAATTGAATTTTCTTGGGTGATTGGTACAAAATCTGGATCACTCTATAAATTTGGGGTCCAAAAGTTTGACATTTTTGTGAGCCTGTTACACTCGACTTGTACAATTCCACACAGAAACATTGAAATTGACTTCACACTACATGTATTTATATTTATTTGCAAGTAATTTGCAATATTTAATTATTCTTGAAAATTAAAGAATGTGTCCCAAACTTACAAAATCATTTGTCAGATGTGATAGGGACATGAAAAAAGTTAGACCAAAAGTTACAGAACGACCCATACAAACTTCATGGAAGACTTGACGTTCATCATAACTTAGTTAAAACTTGATGTTAGTCTACAAAATTGTTCTTGTGCCAATGAATTATAGTTGACTAAACCAGACATACCACCAGTGTAACTTTAACCCTCAAAGGCCTCTCAATATCCATCAGAAGCTTTTGTAGGATTCTTTAGGATTGAGGAACAACAGCGTAGCCACTAATAGCTTGACACAGGACTCGAAAGAAAGTAATCTGACAGATGAATTTGCTGAACCCAGAAAATTGTTGTCAAATAAAAAATTGAAAATTATATTCTGGTAATCACAACTATCGTAGGTTCTGAGCAGATTTTTGCTAGGCACAAAAAATTACAAAGCTACATATTCTGTTTACTGGCAATGGACCAAACTGAGCATTTTGAAGAGGAAGCATATCCTCCTGACCTGTATGGCAAGTTTTGGTCTCTTCTCTTTGGACTGTATGTTGACCACCGCCACATTGTTCTTGACCTCCCTCTTCTCCAAGTTCTTTATCACGCCCACCTCCAGACCATCTGTCTTAATGGTCACAGGCTGGGCCAGCCCGCCGACCTGAGGGGGCGCCAGGGGTACAGCCATGGGTATGAGCTGGCCATGGCTAGGGGCAGAGAGAGGGGCAGGTTGGCAGGTTGAGAAGGCCGGGTGGACCCTGCTTGGTTCAGTCTGAAATGGTACACTGGATGGCGTGATAGGATAGGGGTCAAAGAAGAATTGGTTGGCTGGTCTCGGGATGTTGATGGTTCTCGACGAGGAATCGGTCTGGATCTTGGCTGATTTCATTCCAGTCCCTTGTAGGGAACACATATGAAAAAAAAACCTGAATATTTCTAACTGGACATTACTTTCAATTCATTCTATTGCAAGTTTAGTAAAGCAGTTATTGGTGGGCCCTTGCCCCCAAATTGCAGCTTCTTCACTGTCTGCAGGTTCATCTTGAGGTCCTCAATCAGATTTCAATCTTTGCTGTTAAAACCATCAGATAGCATTCAAACCTTTGCCTTGCAAGAGACAACTTGGTGTTTCAGTGGCATACACGGAACACAAATGATCCAGAGAATTTTAACTTGAGGACCAGATTTATGAAACTGAGACCTGAAGGCAATGACAGAGGTCGAAGGGTGCCATGGGCTGAATGTACTGCATAGCTACACCCCTCAGTAGTGACAGAGAAAAACACTACACTTGTTGAAGTACACTTGAGCATCACCTCCATGAAGTGCTCACACTTGGACGTGTTCTCATGCGCAGTGAAAACAGTTTCGTGCACATTCAACTAAAAATTGGTTGTGCTCAACTGGCGCTACTTTTGTGCCACATCACAAAATGATTCACTGACGAGTTTTGGCCTTTGAAAAATGCTACACAACCAGCAATGTTTACTCGGTGCTGTCCAAAGCATCTGAGGAGAAAAATACACATGCTTTCTTGGGTGAGACTCAAGGTTGATATCCCTTAAAACACTGCAGACCACAAACCTGCTCAACCGCAGAGCTCTCTTGGGTCTGCTGGCTGATTGCAATCTGATGTACCTCTGGTAACAGCACTGAAGATACAAGTGGTGCTTGTATTAAGCGAAAACAAAGGGCTGAATCTAGTGTGGAAATTTATGACTCCCAAAGGTAGATTCCGTCAACAGCGGCATGGTCTGACTTTCTTTGGCAGTCGTGACCAGGATACAGATTGAACGTGCAATTAAGTACAGAGTCCACGCACTCAATGAAGTACATGTAGTTAGGCCCTCGGTCGGTAATTTCGTCAGTGCAATGTTGAAAAGTATCAAAGGGAATAAAATGTGATTGTCGAAAACCCATTTGGCCAACAGACAGTATTGCCAAGATTGGCCACGCAAAGTTCACCTCCTCCGCAGGGAAGACCTCACCTTTCACCCTTGTAGGGGAGGGTACTCTGGCTGGTTTTGGCCATGGGCTGGACGTTGCCAATTTCAGGTAGGGTTCTTTCTGCATTGTAGATCGTCTGGCCTGGTACAAGGCCTTGCCGTATACCCTTGTCAGGTAGGCTTCATCTTGGTTGTGGTCCACTGGTGACTGCTTTTTGGAACGACTGATCTGATAAAAGAATTAATCATCCAAGATGTTTTACGCAAGTTACAACAGTGTCTTGTTGAAATAGTTTGATCTGTGATCGCCTGATCTTTTCTTTTCAAAGGTTCCTCAATCAGAGACTGTTTGGCATAAATGCTGCATGCTACGAACTAAAGGGACCAAGCATTCTCTGAAAACTACTTTTGCATATAAGCTTAATGTGCTCGTTCAAAATCTGCATGGCCGGAATGCTTCAATAAACTTTATGATTCCAGTGTGCTGGTCCAACACCTACACTGAAGTGTCAAGACGCCATGACATTCTGTTCTGGTAGATGCAGATTTACAAGAAGATTTGTGAAAAGTGTGGAGGAAGTTGTACAGTTTTCTCGTGGGAAATGAGCAGGGGCACTTCCTTGATGGCACATGCTGAAAGTGCACAGTATTGTAGAACTAATTTTCAATTGAATATGCACAAAAACCACATGGGGCATGACCGTGTTTGCATGTGGGTGATGATTCCAAGCAAGGATCTAAAAAGAAAAAACTGCAGCCAGCCTCCATCAACCAGCTGTGTTGGCATTTTCGGTCCTGGAGGGAGGGAGCAGCTCTGTACAGGGTACGTTGATGGTGGGTAAAATTTGAGAAAGATAACCTCCTGAGGCTTACCGGTTGCTTCTTGGCTTGTGCCACATTCTCCTTATTATGTCGGCCTCCGGCTCCTGCCTCCCCCCCACTTGGGGGCGGTGGTGGATGTCCCTTCCTCAAGCCACTGTCAATCCTAGCTGAGACGGGCTTCTTCTTAGCCCCAGCCCTGACTGGTCTGGCTGAGGAGGCTACAGGTCCTTGACCTGGTCCCGTTCCTGTGGCATCTTTTTCTGGAATGTGGTCTGACGGGTGGGGCCTCCTTTGCTTGTTGATTTCGTGCTGATGGATGAAAGCAAATCGCATTGGTGATATTCAGTGTGCAAAGTTACCGTCAAGTGTTTGCCTTCAAGAGGCCACTTTTGAACTTTGACGCTGATCATCCCTTCTTGACTGTTTAACTCCAACATCCTCAATTCTGCAACTCACTATCAACCGGATCCAATAAAACGAGTTGTAAGACCATTTTTTGGTGATTTTGTTTCAGTTTATATTGGACCGGGCAAACTGAGCTCTTTGCTTCATGTATCACTTTTTGCATTCAGAAAAAAATGCACATAATGTGAAAAAAAATGCTGAGAGTTCTCACTGATACACGCTGTGCAAGATTCTTTTAAAGGCGTTTGACTCAAAACTTGTCCAGGCAACTTGCAACCCATTTTGGTAGGTTGGGTCATATTTAATTATCACAGAGAAGGGAAGCTGTCTTTGGGTTAATCTTACAGACTTATCTGAAGTGTACATGAATCACCTCTTCCACATCAGCGTTTTACCTTAAACTCCCCGTCCAGTGCAGCAATCATTCTCCCGACCCTGTACCTCAGCTGTGCCTTTTCAGCAGCATCGCTATTAATCGACAACAGACAAGAACTGCAGTAAAATACACTGCTTCCTTTTACAATGGCCCGCAGCTGTTGTTCAAGGAAAGCAGGTTCCAGAAAGAACCATCTACTCAATCAACCTACTTGTAACCCATTTGAGATGGAGTTAATGGGCATGTTTTTACAGTGCATGCGATGAAAGGATGTTCTCAAACTTTTAAGGATCCATGCTCTTAAATCACCCTCTGGCAATGTCCAACATTAAAAATTGAGGGTTATCACCTTCCTGACATACTTATTTGATACTGAAGCTGGGGGAACTTAGCCAAGTGCAATTTAATCAACCAAATCAAAATTATGCGCAGATTTATAAAAGAAAAAGGTGTCATTGTACAATCTTTAAGATGGTACCAGTACTGATGGTATGGATAAGTTAAAACTATGAAATCTGTGAACTGTCAATTACCCCTGGAGATGGAGACTATCCAGGTAACTGTAGAATTCCTCTTGTTCCTTGGCACGGACCACCGCCTCCAGGTTGGCTTCAAGACAGGCCCGGCTAGACTGGACCTTGTCCAACACAGCCTTAGCATTTGTACACAGGGAGGGGGCAACAGGTGCATTGTACTGGGAGGGTGACAGGGGCTGCTTTGGGTGGGGGGCCGGATGGACGGAGACAGGCACAGACGTGGGTTTCCTCTTGAAAAGAGACAAAAGTATCACTTTTTTTATCAAGGAGAACTCAAGTGAACCTTAACTTTTGAAAACTGTGGATGAAATGTTTGATTTAAGGGAGACTTCATTTCCCTTCAAAGAGACATTAATCCTAGTGAAGTTCCAGCAACAACTGTAGCTAACTATAGTCTGACGAAGGCCACTCCATAACGATGGAACCATTTAGAACCCAGCACATGGGGCATGGTAGCATCAGTGGTCACCGGCAGCCCTTTTCCGAATCAAGTACACAGGAAACCACTGACATGAAAGTGATTGTATGAAATGAAAAAGACCACAAATGCACTGAGAAATACAACCAACACCAAACTGTGACAATGAGTTTCCCAAAAACACTAAACTAGGGTTGTTCAAGCTGCACTGTATTGCGCATGCACATTAATAAGACGAAACTGACCAGAGGTCAAACGATAGCATCTAGTCCCACACTTGCCCCTCAATAATGGTTTCACACTCCACAATTAGTGCTGGAAGACAAACTAAAATCCGTGCCATTGCATCTACCAATTCCATTTAAAGTCCATATCTTAGGGTGCCGACTATTTCTTTTGCCACTGCAGTGTGAGAATACTGACTGCTTGGATTGGTGTAGTAAACCTAGCCTCCTCAGGTGACCCTCGCCTTGGGAAAACAGAATGCTCCATGGATCACCAGAAAGGCTAGGTTTACTACACTATGAGATAAAGCAGTCAGATCTTTCTTTTATAACACCTCTCCCACAGATTCTGCTTGATTTAAGTGACAACTGATTAACTGATTTGAAATGCATATCAAAAGTGTACCCATTGGAATAAAAAATTTGATGAAAGTTTACAAGCACTTTTCGAACAACCTCTTTGCAAAATCTGTGAATCAAGCTCTGTAGTGCAATGAGGAATGTGGGCAATACACACCAGTATGCATTTGCACACACTGTCAAGATACAGAATCCTGTGGGTGAGGTGGTGTCAAACTCTTGGTATTAAAACAAGACTTATATTTGAACTCACGAGGGCACTGTTTAGATTGCGCTTAATATTGCGTATACGGAAAGCTTCCATTATCCATTTCTTTCAATACACTTCTTTGCTTGTTTGAAAGTGTGAACCAAGAAGAAAGGATTCTTGAACCCTTCTGCCCCATTGTCTACAACCCACACCTGCACAGCACACCTATCAATCACTTAAAACCTTACAAGATAGATATCAACAGGTGCAGGCTGTAACCGTCGCTGCATCAGCTCATCCCAATCTTTCTCTGCCTCCTGAAAAATGGAATTCATCGATCAAGAAGGTCAGTCATGTGCCCAGACACAAACCATTTACCTCCAGGACAGCTACTCTTTGTGATTTTTACACGACGTCATTTGTGCACGTGTCATTTCTTTGCAATGGCGGATCAACGGTGGATTAGGCCCACAGGTTGGAGGTTTTTGAAACTAAACACTCAGTATTGGAAGCCACACGTCTCAAATTTGTGATTTCTAGCAATTTCTCTACGATCGATCCAAATTATGACACTTCTTATTGTAAATAACTGGTGGGATTGCAAAAATATTAATGAACTCGTGCATAGAATTCTACTGATTTAGTAGAATGCACCCTTGCAGTTAGAATTCCAGTCTCTACAAGCATCATTTGCAGTACTTGATCATTTCACACTGAAGCATTGTGCACCTATCTCATCCAAACACGCTACTTTGACATTCTTCGATTTAATACCATAATGCAAGTACATACAGAGATTGCAGATTGGACATTGACGAAGGATGTTTGTTTATTTGTCCAATCATATGCGCTCTAATAAAAAGCTGTTGAAACACAAATAATTGCAATTGCCAATCTCTGTACTGCTACGTGGTTGGCCCCTTCTTTTTTCAATCGGACAAATCGTCTACAACTTTTCGCGTTCTTATTCAGGATCACACCCCCTTTTCCATTCTTTTACCTCACGTAATTCAGAATGTCTCCTCTTGACAGGGGAATGGACATGGTCTTGCTTCATTTTGCTGTCTCTCCCTTCAGAGTGAATATTCTGAAATAAATTCAAAACCTTAAGAAATACAAAATTGACCCCGCTGCTGTAACTGGCATTATAATCACCTGTCAATCTGGGACGAGGAGTTATTCTTAAACACTGCACATTATGCTGTGTTGATAATTTTTTGATTTAAACATATTTGGATACTGTGGTACTTTTTTCTGTTCTCAGTGAATATATGCGACTTGTTTATCACAAGATTCGTACTTCAAGGAAGAAAATTAACAAGACCTGCAGCAATGAATGTACAAATAAAAGACATCTAGGCACAACACAAAGACAAAACAAAAATTAAGAAAAAAAACAAAACAAAACAAAAAAAGAGGAAGGAATTCAAGACAAACAAAAGACCTGCCTCCTCCTTGAGACAAATATTCCTGATGCCTACACAATTTTCTGCATGTGTGATTTTAAGACATGGCAAAGCTGTGCTTGCTATCTTTAAGCCGCAATGTTTGAAGTCCTCACAATGTCAACGGAGCGACAGGAATAGCACTGAAATAGGTCGGGTAAGTTCACCATTTAGCTGAGCTAGAAGTCTGCCAGCTGTCTCATATTATTCCATGTGTGAATCCGTGGGCTGACATCCTCACACTGGAGGTATCTCACTCCCTAATGACTGATCGCAGGCAAAACCACACCCTTGGTAGCCTCCATAGGCCTATGATGGATGGGTCCTCCCTCACAACATTCTCCACACATTCTGGATGATGCAAGGCCTAAGTTTGCTTCACTGAACGGCACATGGCTGTCTGGGATTTCTTTTACAGATTATAATCCACTGCCCTTGGGGTTTGACATGTACTGTGAGCAGGGAAGCTTCTAGTACTCCCCATTTACCCACATTTCCCTCTCCAGGGCAATTGCATATTACAAAATGAGAACTTCAGTATTTGGAGTCAACTTGCCAAGTCTGAAATGGCTCAGTGCCAGGAATTTAAAGTACTGCATACCATGTAAACAGTTTGTCTACAGCAAACCTCTCCTTTGATTTGTCGTTAAGTCTCTTGATGCATCACTACTGTTCATGCCACCAATACTTTAATATACATGTAACATGAAACAATTTTCGTGCTTTAAAGTTTTGATGTTTCTAGGGCATTGGGACTTGGGAGGGCTGAAAGCACTTGACAGTCTCATGATATATACACAACAACTGCCTGTAGGGCACACATTGTTTGAAAATCAACAACTTGCTGTGCAACAACCCAACATGGTGATGCCCGCCCATCGAAGACAGGAGCATTCCTCTTCAGCGGTATGGATGTATATTTGTATTCCTGCCTACAACAGCACACACAAATGTCTCAGGTTCAAAAGTGTCTCCCAAAGCAGCTAAAAAACTTTCCCACACGTCAAATGCCGATATGGCCATCAACCATCCCGATGGACTGCACTTCACTGCCAGAAATGAGTGACACTTGGGGGGACAGTTTGTTATTTTTACCTGGATAAGATCAGTCTTCATTTCCTTCATCTCCTTTTTCAGTTTGCTCAGCTGCTGGACAAGACTGGCTGCCTTCAATTCCGCAGCACTCTCTGGACTTGTTACTTCCCTGTATCGCAAAAAGGAAAGCAAAAACTCTCATTGACAAAGCTTCCCACAGTACAGAAAGACAACATGGCATGATAAACTGTCTGCTCTGGTGAGAAAAATTCCTTCAGTGAACAAACAAAGAGACTGTTTGCGAAGAATCAGTTGTTTTTCATAAACCATGGCTAAATCATCTTGTCAAGGATATACATGTAAATGGATAACTTCCACTACTTTCTAATATTTACCCATGACTTAAAAATGTAGAGCCAATGATTTCCATGACTGAAAATAGAATCCATTGCTTGAAACGGAACTTGCAAAATTTGCTACTAAAACTTTCCGCAAAGTACTATAAATAAATGCCTACCAAACTCTTTAAAAATGCTTGCTTTTAATGACCGAATTATGCTGGAAACATGCTTAATTGTACCACTCCACCACAATGATTGGGTCGTCTGCGCCGGTACCGATACTTGCAAGTGCTATGGCGTGCGTGAGCCCCATGCCTGCAGCGCTAGCGGCGGCTGGCACATCACAGCGCAACGGTACACACATTGGCCGTTCACATGTGCACTGTACTAGCATTGAAATCAAGGTGCAAACAAGTTCACACTCACACATATGCTTATTGCACAAGTGGGGAATTCAGTCTGTGAAACCGCATGGACGCCTTGAGACGAGGCTAGTACCGCACGGCGAAACGATCAAACCGTGGCAGCAAAACAGAAGACTGATTACATATTTCTTGCATTAAATGAAACTTAATAAGCATGCTGAATGGGCCCTCGGAAGTGTTCAGGATGAAGAGCAAAGTTTTTAGTCACAAACATGCATTTTAAGGCTCAGAACTAATGTTAATTTTCTGTTATTGCCCCCGTGCCAAATAAGATGGCGGGTCAATGTCCAACATTAACATACTGTGACCAATGACTGTTGTATGCAAGCCTACTCTATGACTTCACTGTACATGTATTTAAATGTAATCTGATTTTATACATGAGGAGTGAAACATCAATGGGGGGGGATGCCGTATTTATTGTGTGGAATTTAAAATTTTCACTTCAGAAAATTATCAAACAAGTTGGAAACATTGCAGAGCATTTTCAAACAATATTTGTTTCTTTTCTTTTTTAGGGGGGGTGTATGGGGTTGGGCAAACAATTTGCATGCATAATTTATAACTTGTTCTCCTTTCTTATGCTTACCGAGGTATGAAATGGAATTTAAATTTCTGAAGTGGAATTCAAAATTTGGCCAAACCCATTTTGGAAACGGAAAATCATTGCCTCTAAAAATGTTGACGTACATGTATGTGCCATTTTTCAGAATTCCACTCTTATTGAAACCAGACAACTCAGAACCATTTAGGACAAGTTCACCGCAGTTCACTGCCTTGTCTATGTTAACCCCAGAGAAAAGTGGGGCAGTTTGACTGCAGCATGTGTGAAGAAAAAAGTGCGAAAATGATCGTCATGATGTATGAGGTCAACGGCCTGCCACAAACTGTGTGAACTTGTAAGGAATTCCCAACACACAACATGAAAATGATATTCAAACACATGAGAACCACAGGTAAAACGCTCCCTTTCAGGAAATAATGGACAGCGAATAACACTTTTGAGGATGCTTAATCAGAATCGGAAACACCACCACAGGCCAAAATGAGCAAGAAGGTTGCTGGATAAATGTGAAGTACAGAAGTGAGAAGTGAGCCCTCTCTTGCTGTATAGAAAAATGTGTCACAACCACTGTCCTTTAAAAGGACTAAAAAGAGGTAACTGTTGTGGAAATCTGTCATGATAAACTTTGACCTTCAACTCCACTCATTCACAGGGCAGTACTGTGTGTATTTTTTTCCATTTAAATTAAGTAAATAAAGTAAGGAAACAGCCGCTGGATTTTCAAACTTCACCAAAAGTTAATGTCAAGAGTGGAAACAAATTCTAATGCGCGAGTTAAAGACCAACTCCAATTATGCTAACTTTTCTCATATTAAATCTTATTCAGAAGAGCCAAGTCTAACAAAAGTGGCACATATCAATATCTATATCATATACATCTTTTTATATTAATAAAACACAGTTTTTGTACCCATTTTTCCTGCGAATTCAGTCAGGTATTTTAAAAGTGGATGTGTCACCACAACTCATTAGCATCTAATGAATATTAATTTTTTTTATGTATTTACCTTGGACAGGAAATACCACAGGGGTACACTATAGGCATGCATAGCACGCATAACTGTGGACGACAGCACCAACTTGAAGAATGCTCTCATTCTTCGGAAACTCAAAGAATTTCAATCCCAGTTCTTTTGCAGAATCTATACATCCACCAATGATGCACAATTTCGGTACTATTGTAGATCATGAAGAAAGAAGCATAAACTCTTGACGGAAAAGAGATAATGCAGTGCAGTAGACCCGGCACACGGATCGATCCATGTAGCTCCATGTTCATGTACATGTACGTTTGTAGTGGAACCAGTTGTGCCACGAGTACCAGTTTCGATGTTTTCTCCGGTGTTACATCATACAAATTTCATTTTTCAACAGCACCGCCAGTGGTCAGATTGTGGAAATTTTTCATAAATCTCGAAGACACCATTCAAATGTTTCAGCAAAATTACACAAAATACAGACGTAATACAAACATGATTTGGCATTGAACATATGGTTTATAACACACTAAACAAAATCATAGTTTATCTTCAAAATTTTTAAACCACTGGAGTTGGTCTTTAAAGCATTTCATTTCAAAATCAACAGTATATTAAATACTTGGGTACTTTTTCCAATTAATTACTGTAATGTGAAATACATTGCAAGGGAAAAACCACGCATATTTTATTATTTTATTTCTGTTAAATTGCATCAGTGCTTTCAACACTTGCCTTTCTCTCACATTTTCTTTTTTAACACTGCTTTGCATAAATCTTTCCCTGTGAGACCCTTCTTTTTCAAAACCTTTTTTTCCTCCTCGGATTTGCCCTGAACTGTTCCGCCTGGGTGACAGTGGCAGCTTTGTTACCTAGTGTCAGTATCCCACTCGGCCAACGCATCATGTGCACACACTGAATTGAGCATATTCGGCACAGGGTAACCTATGCGCTTGACTCATTTTCACAGCAGCCAGGCATGTGACAGCAATTGCATTCAAGTTTTGACCTAGCTTTTTTTAAACCAATAATGGGAAATTTATGAAGTTGACACTTGTGAATACTGATCATAATGATTCTTTCAATCACTCCATAAATTTTCAAGCCCGCAATCTGTAATACTGATAAAAAGTACCACATAACTCTACTAAAAACAACTGTATTCCACACACCAATTCACAAACTTACATTTTCTTTAAATCAAGTCTACCTAAATGGGAGTCCTTTATATGTTCCAGTGGTCAGGTGACTGTGGTTGAACTGTGCCTGCATGGCCCTAAGGAGTTCTGCCTTGAATGTGCCATGTACCCCTTGAAAGGTCAACGACCAACAAATGTGGCTTGAACTCTACCCAAGTCCTTGGAGATTGCAATTGTCCCAAAGAAATGTGCATGGGGGCAGTGACAGACAAATAAGATCTCCCGGGCTGTTTGATTGCCATGGCAACGTGTCTGTCGCCTCACAGAGGATTATGCTAGAAGTTGGGGCTTGGCAGAGGGGAAACTGAGGAAATGTCAGTTGTAAATGAATGTTAGTTTGGCCTGACTGATTTTAAAATGTATCGAACACTGAGTGGGAATCTAGGAACGTGAGTATCTCCCCGAGAAGTAGTAAAAAACGTGAGTTTTTCCCTTCCAATTTTCAGCAAGATGAAAAAGTTGTCCCCTTCCTTGTCAGCTGACAATTTACACATTTTCTCATCTTTTAAACTACAAATCCCTTTATCACAACCTCATTTCAATTACAATTTGCTGAGTTTGGCTTTCGATGCATCTCCCTTCAGGAAATAAATAGGATGTGGTATGATCCAAATATGCTTGAAATATTTCATACATGCTACATACAGTAATAGAAAAAAAGGAGAATGTAATGACATAAATTAAGCTTAGCTTATGGCATGCATGTAACCGTTTTAATTGTTGGATAAGACCGCATTTTCCCCAATGCAACTTCCCGCCATATGTTTCCAAACCACGGACGTTTATTAACATTTTGATATCAGTGGCCACATCTACTGCCCTCTCGCCTGATTTTTGGAAATTAATGGACATGGTAGAAGAAAAATCACCTGCTGTAAAACCCTGACAAAAAAATAAATGTACACAACAAGCAAATGAGAAATATTAGCGGAAATATAAAATAGCACGGTGAGATCTGGGGGAGAGACGTGGAGTGTTTTCGCACACTTCAAGGATAACCTGATAGCCCGGGCTGGTCTCAAATGCAGACAATGGCCTTTACACTAGAAATTCTAGCTGCAGCAAGCGCAAGGAAAAATCTCAATTCTCTCTTTTTCTTTTTCTTGTGCTTTTTTTTTTTTCTCTCAATCATCTCGTCCGGGCTGGATCTTGTGTCTCGATCAGTCCCGGGCAAACGAGATGGAGGGAGTCGTTTGCAATTCCTCACCATGAAACACAGGTGCACCGGGACAGGCGCGACGGAGCCAGAGAAAAGGAAACAAGCGCTGTAAGTCAACACCGAAAAGCTGGCAGTGCAGCTATAAAACCCCGGGTAACGTGACACAGCTATCAGGGCTGGCCGTTTTGAGTATCACAAGGGAGGGATATTTATGACTCTGCCTGCTCTGATGGGCTAGCCGGCTAGAGTTGCCCCTTCAGGCCAACATGATCTTGCTTTCCCACCGCCCATGCCTACCTACGTGACTAATTTATCCAGTAAGCCGCCTCACAGCTAAGATCACGCTGAGGTAGTCGGATCAAAGTGACTGGCTAGCTGGGACATGCGATGGGGGGGGGGTGAGTTGAGAACTTTGGCTCCACAATGACAGGAGATTTTCTTACAAACTTGCCCATATTCATGGGGAGGTCTACATTTCTTCACCTACTTACGCATGCTTTTCA